CTTAGTTATTTTATGAGATAATGCGTCCTGTCATTCCAGGATTGAATCTGGCTTGCAAGAGCACTCGAATGGGCAGGCAAGTGTGCCTCGTTTGGGACCATATTCGCCAATGCTGAACCCAGTAGAGACAATATGGTCTAAAATTAAGTCACTGGTTAAGTCAAGTATAGATGTCCCCAACGTCCAAGGTCCAGCATTAATAGAGCAGAGGCTACAGTATTTGGAAAGAAAAATGTATGATGCCTAAGTAGCAATATCAGGTGGAGATTATACTCGAGCAACACAACATTGCTTCTCGTTTCCTGCTGATGCATTGTCCTTGCGTGATATGCCGGCTGGTGAATAAAAATTGTGTCATATTGTATTGTGCTGATCTTGGTTACTTAAATCTTGTTTGTTTTTATAGGCTTCATGGATCTAATATTTGCAAGTGTAAGTAAAATTAAATTTTCTCCACTTCATCCCCAACTTTTCGCTTAATTTCCTTAGCTTCATCAAGGGGATGTATTGAAGAAAGTTTAGTTTAACTTGCAATTGCAATTATTATGTCCACGAAGCATATAAAAACAAATAAAAAATGTGTCGTTTACTTGCCAAACAAAACATTATCTTATTGTTGTTTGTTTGTTTATGTTATATGGACTACAATTGTATTGTTATCTTTTTCACTATATGAAAATAAACTGAAGAACTAAGTGCTAAATTTGGACCAGTTCTTTAATGGGTTTAATTGAAGTTCAGAAAATTTCGTATGCACTGTTCGATTTGGAGAACTTTTGTGGCACTACGTTTTATATTTTTTTTTGCTATTTGATTTTTTAATGATAAAGACTGCATTTTTATGATGGGTTCAAAACGAAAGTAATAATTTGATAGTAAAAATAAATATTTTTAAATCAAGCTTTCTAAATATGAACGAAATCGGACCATAAATACTGGTTTACCAAATATATCGACACGTGGGCCACCTATCGGATTAACTTATCTTTCGTATTGCATTGTCATCGGGTTCTGAGCCAACTGTGAAGTTTCAAGGCTCTAGGTCATCGGGAAGTTGGTAAAAAATTGATTGCAAGATTTGCCCCTAGCAAACATACATACATACATACATACATACATACAGAGCAAATTAAATAAAAGCTTGTAAAAAACGGTTAAATTGTATCGAAAAAATACAAGTCCAATTATGAAAATTTAATTATGACTTTTATCACAAAGGTCATAGCCGTTACGGTCCCTGGTTAAACCGCCACTCGTTGTTTAGGAATACTTTTTCCTGCAATCCAAATTATTGTAAAAATTTAAACTTAAAAATTTTCTGAATTTAATTTGATAGTTTTTTTTTTTTTGTGTATTATTATTATGACTACTAAGTATGTACTGCAATGGTTTAATTGTTACCCTTTTCTTTAAATGAAAATAAATAATTACATACATAGAGCTAAAGACTTGCACAAATTTAATACATACACATATTACCATTGAATACAAGGTATAAAAAGTTTTCTGAACTTAATTTGTCTGAACTTAAATTGTAAATTTCTGAATTTGAATTGTAATTTTCTGAATTTGAAATGGAAATTTTCTGAATATGAATTGTAACTTTCTAAATTTGAAATTAAAGTTTCTGAATTTGAATTGCAACTTTCTGAATTTAAAATGGAAATTGTGACTTTGAATTGTAACTTTCTGAAATGAAAATTCTGAATTTGAAATGGAAATTCTGAACTTGAATGGTAACTTTCTGAATTTAAATTGCAGCTTTCTGAACTAAAACTGGAAAGGTGCAGATTTTTCCCGCAGCCCCGAACATTTGGCAAATCTTACCGTGAGGTTTATTTTTACCTTATCTGCTTATTTATGTACATACGTATACTTCATAAGGCTGGTATTGCACTTGCGAAGCGAATAAATTTGGCGAAGCGAACGATTGGCGAACACACCAAAAATTTGCATTGTGAGTGGCGAATGAACTTTTTCGTCGGACATGCGTCGTTTCCATTCAAACAAATTAAATGAGTTCATCCTCATTTGACGTTTCTGTTATTTATACTTCGAATTCCTTGTTATTACAAACTAAAATTTGAAATGCAAAATGTTTTATAACGTAGATTTATATTTTGAGGATAGTTATAATGTTGAACCGCGAGCTAACCTTCTTCGTCAGCGGCGTTTTATTAGAGATTACTCTAATCCTATGGAGCTGCCGTCCACAGTGTAAGTATCCAGTGCAGATAGGTTATTCAATGAAACATGAAAAATTTATGCATATGCATATGTATATGTATTTATAGATTTATAGCGAATTTTCGGATAAGTAAGGACGCTTTTATGTATGTATGTGCTGGACAAAATCAAGGACAAGTTTACTACAGTTTCGCTCATTTTAAAGGAGGTACTGCCCATTTTAGAAAGAGAAATTTGCAGTGCTTCGATAATCACAGCAAATTTTTCTCCCGATCAGGAATACCCAACGTGATTGGCTGTGTTGACGGAACACATATTGCGATGTATGCCCCCACCGCAAATAGACACCTCTATCTTAATAGAAAAGGCTTTTTTAGTATAAATGCTATGACTGTAAGTTTTTAAGAAATGAATACAGCAACACTGATAACTTCGTCGAGTTTTTTTTTCAATGTTTGAAATTCTTTCGCAAAGGGTATCTTGGATTTCGGACTGCTTCTCCAATGCTTGGATTCTAATGGATTCTCGATCCTCAACAATCATTCTATTCTGGGGAGTTGATGATCCCGGTGCGAAATCCACTTCTTGTGGAGCTTGTTCGCCCAGGGGCTCCTCTGCATCTAATTCATTGGCACTCACCGTAGTTTCTGCCACGTTGGTGCCAAATGAAGAGCCTCTAAGGTTCACTGCTTCCTGCAGGTGGAACAGCTCATCGACCGTTCGCTCTAGTGGAGTTAAACTTTGCTGCGTGTACGGTCCTCCGGTGCCACATTTTCGCGTCGGTTTGTGGCAATTTTTTTTTTTCAGCTTAAGTTTGTAGTCTAACCAAACCTAAATAGTACATATGTAAGTAACTACGGTCACACAAATTAGTACAGTTCTTACCTTATTCCACTCGCGTCCGCTACGTATTGGAGGACCAATGGCGTTAAGTTCGGTAGCGAACTTCTCCCACAGCTCTGCCCTGCTCTTCTTTGTGGAACCGAAACTCCCCATCCCTCTTGCGACGTCTGGATTATTTTCCATTATGCTAACCAGCTTTTGGAACTGCTGCGTTGTTGTCCGTTTTGTTCTGAAAATTAGATTTTATTAAATAAAATAAAAAAAATAAGATTAAAATTTACTGACGTCCTTTCCATTTTCAAACGCGAACAAAATAAACAGTCGACAAATTTTGACAGCTTTGGCGAATGTCGAATGTCGCTAGTGGCAATACAAGAAATTCATTTTCGCCACTCGTTCGCAAATTTGCGGCGAATTCGCTAGAGATTCGCATCTCACAATTCGAGACGGCTAAATTCGCCTATATTTTCATTCGCTTCGCAAGTGACAATACCAGCCTACGATATTTGCAAGAGACTAGTCGAGCCTGAGTTCTGAACCTTTATTTGATTATATTAAATTTTTTAGTCCAAAATGCAGATAAAGTATGAATTTTTAAGAAAACTTATTCTCGTGTTCCAGTTAATAAATGTTACATAAAAAAAAAAATGTTCACCGAAAAAAGCATTTTTTTGTTTTTAGTAAAAATTGGTTGAAAAACGAAGGCTCCGGTGCATTATGAACATTAAATTCCAACTTTGAACCACTGTGTGCTGGCTTCGTCGTGCAGTCTGAATTATGGTTAACGCATTTCGGTAGCAAAGGATGGCGAAGTCCTTGAAAAGGATTTGGCTTAATTTTCCGCTCCAGCAGGCGAACTTGTACAATTAAATAATATAATTAACTGGTAAATATTTGATTTAAATTACGATATGGGTAAGGTGTCTACTTTTATCATACAAGTTGTATGTACGTATTCCCAAATCAATTTGAAAAAAAGTGTCCTTTATTTTACGTTGGTTAATATGGTCACCGTACATATATGTAAGTGATTTGTGTAGTTTATTATTACCCTGAAGGTATTATATTCGTTTTTGGTTTTAAAAATTATGTTATAACAAGATCTATTTTTTTTTTAATAAAAGATTTGTTAAGTCGATTTCATGAATTTCATAAAAAAAAATTTGCGATTTTTGGCGATCTTTTTTCAGAAATGTCCATTTTCTTTTTAAACAATCTGAACACCCTGATATTAACACAAGTGTTCGGCGGCCGTTCGGTCGTGAGCAAAATATATTCAACAAAGTGTGATTGAATTTGACATTGGTCTCAGCAGAACCATCCTATAAAGACAAATTGAAAAAATTTTGTATGCATTTTGAATCGCTTGTTTATATTTTTTGGCATAGTAGTACCTTAAAAGAGAGCCAACTTGAGTTGTCAATCACACCTTGTTTAATACACCTTGGTCGTGAGCGGACCAGCACAGCTCTCGCAATAGTTCCGAAGCACTCACTCAGCTCTTCAAAACCGACGAATTTTACAACCTTTTAATTTCTGGTGCTCACTTGATTGGCATTGCTTATTTATGCACGTATGTGTGCATGCATGTATGTACAAACATCGCATCTATGAACAAGCATCCATGCATATGTACATATGTACATATATATGAGGAATAAAAACGACATTGCTGAGAGAGGAACACCCGTCGCTTCTCCGACTATTGCCTCTCTTGGTCATAGCCACTTAGCCGACGGGTTGATTTTTGTGTCTTCGCCTGCTTTATTTAGTATCCGATGAAAGTTGATTGAAGTGAGTTCGTCTTTGGTTAAAACGCGGTTACTTTTTTAGAGCAAAGTGACTTTCAAAAGCTTTATCTGACTCATACGTAAAGTAGTATTTGTTGTATTGTTTTTTTCGCATACGTACCAGATACATTCTCCACTTCTGCTGCATACATATACATACTATATGTATGTAGGTGCAACATGTCTTTCACCCTGGAATCGTGTAAAATGCAAGTGGGCTTTCACAAGAACAGGACGTGCAATAGATTATCGATGGAGGAACGCGTGATGGTAATTAAATTGTATAAAGAGACACCGAACTACCAACGTTTGGCGAATCACTTTGGTTGCAGTTTTAGGCAGATAAAGAAAATTATTGCGAATCAAGATGAGATCATGCACTTTCACAAGAATCTACGTGCGAAAGATTTAGCAGAAGAAGTTTCCAATAGCCGTCGAGAGAAGATTGACTTTCTCGGAAAAGTGGTCTATGAGTTTCTACTACGCGCTCTCTATCTTCGCATGCCAATCGACACAGCGATCATACGACAGAGAGCATTTGAAGTGAAAGAGGCAATAGCTATTGAAAGTTTTACGCCAAATAATGCTTGGTTGCAAGCCTTCAGATCTCATTACAATCGATTGGATTTAACGGCAATGGTGGAGCAATTGCCAAGTGATATGGAGATGCGACGTTCGTTGAAGTGTATCGATATAATTGAGTATGTAAGCAAGCAAGAGAGAGAGAAGAAAGAAAAAACACATATGGAGGCAGATGACTCTCCTGGAAGTGGTCGGAATGAAAGTGAGAAGGCGATACAGAATTTTATGAAATCTGAAAATGACTTTGATGATTATGAAGTGTATGGCAGTGCTGAAGATGATGCTGATTTGGGGAATCATGAGAGTGTTGAAAATATGAGCACTGCAAACACGAATGCTGCATCGATTTTCGTCGATCTTGATTCGGAGGAGGAAGACGAACAAGCAGAGAGTGCTGTGGTTAAAACGGAGGAGACTGTTTCAGCCAACACAAGCTCTTATGCTACCAAGCCTATTTTAAAACCCTCAACGCCCCCACCTTTTCCCGATATACACAGCTATCCGGAAGCCATGCGTCATCTGAAAGTGTTGGAAGATTTTGCTATGATTGAAGAGAACTATCGCGCTATCGGCTTGATAACACAACTGGAGCAGATTTTCAAGAATCCACCGAAATTGAAGAGCTAACCGCATTGAATAAGTCTAGATCTAGTATAAAGATGTCCATATCTACATAATACTTATAGATTAAAAAAGATACTTTAAACTCCAAATAAATATTTTTATTGTATTTCCGATAGATTGATACAATTAAGATATTCGATTTATATGAATACGCCTAATAAGAAAATTTCAGGTTAAGATGACATTGTTCTATATGTTAAAATGTATATACATACATAAATGTGTACTATTTCAGGTAAAAAACTGATAACTCAATTTTTGTTATTTTTAAGATTTGTTGCTGTGAAAAACCTCTTACCATCTGCCGCATTTTTAGAGACTTAAAAAAAGAATGAAGCTTTTAATGTCACTAAGAAAACGACTAAGGAAATTAGTGTATATCATTAACCAATTAGGCTTAAATGGTAGTTTGTGTAAATGATTTTGTTCCACCAAATTACAATGGCCCTTATTATGAGCCTCATTCGATTTTCGATCTTCGCTGGCTATCGAAGATCGAAAGTGAAATTCGTATTATGAGCTATGCAAGCGTGTCGAAATTTTCGTTGAGTATCGAATTTTCTGTCGAACAGAATTTTGCTTTCGATGGTGTAGCGAAGTGTTAGGAAATTGTGAAAAATGTATGATTTTGTATATGTTTTCTTACATTTTGGCGGCTAGACACTAATTTTAAACAATTTTTATTAATTTCATGCAGTTCTAACATCGTGAATACTAAACACAAGCTCGAAAGGCTGGTTTTACTTGTGAAAGAAAATCCCAATACTCTGTTGGCACGATCTCTGAGAACAAAATCGTAGCGCTGTTGATAGTTTTAAAATATTTTAAATAGATTTGGCTCACAAACGCCTCTTTAGATGGTCGGAACTTTTTAATGAATCTGTAGACAAATTTCTTAAATATATTTTATATCAAAATATATTCGAAAGACTAATAAACTTAAACTCTCTTAAACATTTGCTACTCCTGGCCAGTTTACTAAGCTCTCATCCTCTGACGAATCGTTGAACCAGAACTCGTTGTACTCATTTTACCACGTTTTTATAAACTTGCTTTCTTTTTTACTTCATTTTAATTAGAACAAATTTACATAAATATGTATAAGCACACTATTTAGTTTGCTCGATTTGTAAACAAAGCTTCTCAGCGTTGAAAAATATACTATTGTGAACAACGTAAACGAGCGAAATTCACAATAGCGCTATTCTTCATCGAATGAGCGCCATAATACCAAATGAAAATTCCTTCGCTCAGCACTTTCGACCACAGTCGAAAATCGAATGCAACTCATAATAGGGGCCAATTTCTTTCTACACACAGTAGGTCACAGTTTCCACCTTTTGGTCACACATTCGATTTTCTTACAAGTAATTTTATGTGTAATGTGTATTCGATAGTTTGACATGGTAGCGACTATATGTGCTATTGGATCGTGATCTAGCGAATTGAAGGTGACGCACACCACAAACCGCTATTTTGGTAAACCACGCCTCAAAAACTTTAAATGCCCTGAAATTCAGTAATAACTTCACTAAAACATCCGTTTGTTTTTTAAATAGTTGTTATTACAAATCATGTATGTATTTTACAATTTAAAGCAATTAAAACTCGTTTCCTATCGGACAATGGAACATTAATGTAATTGATCCTTTGGTATTTTCTTTTATCCTACTATTCGGCTTTCTTTAGTTTTACTTGAGAAATAACTTCGACGTCGGGAATGCGCATTCTTGTATTCTATCATTTTTGCTATTGGATGCTTTGATATCTTCCAACAGGTCGGTCCGGATGGTATCTTAACTGTGAGCTGCTATCGCAGACCTCGCTTTTGTTTATAAAAATGTACTATATTGCAATCAATGGGGACGTCGCTTTCATTTCTAAGCTTGGGTAGGCCTTAAGATTTATTGGGCGCTACAGAAAGGCGCTGGACCAATGAAAGGCGTT